TAAATTAACTTTCCTTTACACTATAAATCTTCTCTGCCTGAGATGCACAAGCAGTGGACTGGAAAGTGTTACTCTTACAGTCTCAACAGGTAGCCTAAAAAAAGTTTTCTCCTTTAAAGCACCATCATGTCAGTCAGATACCTACTGTGAAGTGAAATACAGTGCCTACCAAAATTGAAGACTATTGCTATACAGGTATTTTTCATGCCCAAGAGGCTTCACAGAAGCACTACATTCCCTCCATTAGAAAAACTTTAGATTTTTTCTCAGTTTTTTCTCTCTATCTTGAGGAATATATATATATACACCTCTATCTTGTGGAAAAAATATATATATATTTATATATTCTATGTGTGTGTGCATATATCCCAATCTCTGTTTTATTCCTTATGCTTTAAATATATTTATTAATCATACTTGACTGAAGGCTTCATAGAAAATTCAGTTATTCAAATGAAGAATTGCTATGCTCAAATCATGTTTTCCTTACAACTTCCCAAATGCATGACAGAAAAGACTTTATTTGTTTCTCTCTACTTTTTCAGAACTTCACTCTTCTTTTAAATACTCTACAATAGTATATCCTCTACTATGTTATTTTGCTTAAAGTACCGCCTTCTACCCTTCATTCAATTTTGTATTGATTTTGTATTTTAAACACAATTCATCATTATTAAGAACTGTCTCTAGCAATTGCTCAGCAGAGACTACTTTCTGTTTCCTGAATACCGATTAAGTGTTACAGAACACAACAGACTTAGGGTTGAGAAGCTTTTTTTCTTATAAGCTATACTTAATTTGAAATTGAAAACCGTTTTAAAAGATGCATACACTTAATACTTCATTCATCCACCATCATAAACTGAGTCTAAATTTAAAACGCAAGATAACAGGTACTCATATGCCTTCAAGAGGAATACATATAAAAACTAACCTCTTAAAAAAAAAAAAAACCAAACAAAAAAACAAACAAAAATCACACAAGTTTTATTGAAAAATTCGTATCTCAAATCAGGCAAAATAATTTCATTTCTAAGGCTACTCAAAAGCCACAAAAAATTTAAGAACAACTTAACTAATAAATTTTCATCTTTTCTGCACTTTGGACACATGGAAGGCTAGCAATTGAAAACAAATCAAATGTTAGACAGGCAAAACGAGGGCTGCTAGTGCATAAAAGAAATGCTTCAATACTGCTGAAAAATGGTTTAAGTCAAAGTTAGTATTTTTCTTTTCCAATATCAAGATAATCCAAACATGTTTTAGCCTATACTGATTTTAAGCTGGGATACCTCCATAAGCAGAAAGCCTATAACATTATTTGTGGGTGTTGACTTCCTTTAATAGAAACATTGTACTAGCTACCAAGAACAAAGAAGAAAATTTAAAAAATTAAAAAGAAAAAAGGACAACAATAACACTTCTCTTCCTCAATGTAATTTTTTGCTATAAAATCACCAAAGTGGGCTTACTCAGGATGCAGCTATGGACTTCTCTTTTGCTTCACTATCTTCTACAGTTTTCCTGCTATTCTAGGTTCAGAAAAATGCATGCATTCATGCTTTCTGGCTTCTTTCTGATGGAAATCTCTACTTGAAACATCTACGTGCACCACAAATAGCAGGTCTTAAAACTACAGATGACTTTGGCGAAAATGAAAACTAGTAACAAAATCATCTTACCAGGATCTGTACACTTGGTGAAATACATCAGCTGATAAACATAAGGTTTTTAAACACCAGACATCAGTGTTTGAAAATTATACTTCAAAACCACATTTTTGGGGTTGCTTGGGGTAGAATTATTGTCTAAATCAAACAAACTATAAAAGCTAGATTTGCCTTTATTCTCACTTACAAACAAACAAATAAATAAATAAAACCAGAATTTAAGCTACCACTTCACAGTCCCTTCAGTCTGTAACTTCTTGATCGCTTTAAGGCGGAATAAAACAGCACCACTGTCGAAATAATTGATCTTGTCCTCAATACAAACCCCAGTCGCCCATACACACGCCTTTATACTAGCACAAGTCTTCATTCAGTTACACAGTGAACTGCATTGGGAAATTGATCCATGTTCAATTAATCAAGAAGGAAAAAAACCCTCCTAGGGAGATGCATTCAGAATTGCCTTCACTGCTTCCTAATTTATCTCCCCGGTTCTCCCAACAGAAGTGGAAATAAGGCAAAGCCATGGTTTGGGACCTTTCAGCATGACACTGGCCATGCTGCTCCAAGGAACCAGAGACAGGCCTACGTGAAACAAAGCGCTTCATGCTTGTTAACTGGTAGCAGAGGCAAAGCTATCAAATTTGGGATCAGTGGGACATCCATGTGGAAAACCACTTCTGTGGAAGCTGCTTCGGGTATTGTACTTGCAATACATCTGGCTGAACTGACTGAGGCTATCACTCGGGTGGTCAACGTTATAGAAAGGTTCATTCATACAGTATCAGATACAGCTTCACAAATCAGCCTCATGTTATGAGACAGTTTCTGAACATCTGGGCTGTTCAGACACATCCACAGCCAGCCCAGCATTCACAGGAGTACCCAACACATTCTGCTTATACCCCAGTAACCCAAATAAATTTAAAGCTGTAAAACCAGTAAGATTACTCTGGCAACTATCACAAGGATAGGACTTAGGACAGAGCAACTGTCAGCTTTGCTGGACTGCTCAGACTCAAAAGCCATGTAATACAGACTAGGAGTAACCATGAAATAGGCACAGGCAAGGCGTATTCATAAAGACAAGACAGCAAGCCTCTAAAATGTACAGGAAGACCTTCACCTTCTGGAAAGCAAGCCCTAGCAGTAATTAAAACTCGAATGACATAAAATAAACCTGAAGGTTTTTGCCATGGTTTGGGGAGTCTGCCAATTTACCACAAGCCTAAGAAGTTGAGCAACTTTACAGCAAGTTGTAAAAAGGTTGATACTGTTCTGATATGATGCAGTTCAAGAGCTAACCTTTGCAGAACTACAAACATCAACCCTGTTGTATCTGTAAGGGACTATTTGCACGGTCAAACCATGGAAAGGCCAAAACAGCAGGACTGTCAACAGTCCTGGTTCCCACAAACTAAAGTTTGTTTCTGCAAGACAGATGGACTCTAACATGAAAATAAGCATTCTGAGGTGAACAGACCTAAAAACCAAGCTCCTACATCTGGAATTATGTAAGAAGCTGAACCTGAGCTTCAGATAAAGTCAACATAAAACTTGTGAGAGTAGACATTCTGCATCCAAGATACCTCAAAGAGGAAAGAGTCCTGTTTTTAAATCCCTTCGATCATCCAAAGCAGCTTCTATCAGTCACAACACTAAGGTGGTCAGTGGGGCTTAGTCAAGCTCCCGCAGGAGAGGAAGAAAAAGATAGGACAGACTAGAAGCATTCACAACTTTTTCCACCGTGTTTAAAGGGAATGCAGGACAAGGCGTGGACATGCCCTGTAAGTCTCCAGACCCAGCCCGAGCAAATAAGCACACAAGAGTACAAAACTGAATATGGACAGTCACACAAAAGATAAAAGAAAATTCATAATTATCTTATAGCATATTCATGAATAGAAATTACTAACTCAATCCCTTTGAGGCTTTAGAACAGCAAGATGGTATTTTCCAATTAGCCAAGTCTATAATACATCTTTCTTTTTCAGTAAAGACTGAAAGTCCTCCTGGACTACTCATGCATTTTTCAGATGCCAGTCCAGAGATAGATTAGGACCCATGTCAAGCCAGAAGGATGTAGACTGGTTTTTATCAGTTTATCCTTCTGAATCCTCAAACTCGTGCATTGATGAGTTTCACATTTCTACACACAGGAAGATCACTTGGTAGAAGCACAAGCTGTGAGATCAATTGCCCTCAGGATGAAGAGGGCTAGAAAGAGAGGCCTCATGCTAAATATGTTTTCACTTGTTTTTTTTAAATTATCTTTCCTTTCTGAAAATTCAAGTAGTGGTACATTTGCAATGACTACATGCTGTTAGTTCTAAAAATCCTTTAATTAGAAAATTAAAATAAAAATCAAACTACGGTCAAGACTAAGGCTGAGAAAAATTGTTATTCATGACTCAATTTCTAGGCAGCAGGTCTTTATCAACATTTCTGAGGACCTCCCATAATATGCCCTCAATTTTAAAATCTGAATGAATTTCTTCCTGTGTAATTACATAACTCCAATCTGCTTTATTGGGATTTTTTGTATATACATGAAAAACATGCCTAAGAATTGTACTGCAACAAAGCAGAGTCTACCTATACAGAGCTTTTGCACTCTTAAATTCTTGTTATTTCAAGGTCTGAGACTTTAAATTTTACTACTACTGTTACAATATAGTCAGCAAGAGGCCACACATTAATTTCCAGTTCAGTCTGTCTTCTGAAGACTGGAGAAATACTAGTCAATGTATGAGGTCTGAGATTGAGCCTTTTCAAAACAAGTATTAGTGGCTTTTCAAACTCATATTGACTTGCAGCTGAATTTTCACTGTGGAATTGGGGTCAAATTGAACAAGAGTATTAGTTTTTGCCTGAAAGTCTCCTCTCTATCATGAGGACAGAGCTCATAAATGAAAATATTGACTCTGTTTCTTTGTAGCTGTATCAAAGTTGGTATGGAAGAAGATTGTTATCCATTTCTTGAATACCAGCCTTTAAAAAGAACATTTGAAGTGCCAGCTTCTTCAGAGACATCAGTTATGTAACAGCCAGCACAGTCAACAACATGACACATACCACTTTTATTTTTAATGGAAGATATGTATCATTGCGGAGAAAACATTACCAGCAAAAAATCCTATGGAAGTTGCTAAAGTACAGTGGAGAAAGTTTTGTTTACCACCAAAAAGTACATTTCATTTTGAACAGTAACTCACCTGAAGTCAAACCTTGTAATTTTCCCAAGTACATTTCATGTTCTCTATAATTCAGCTGCTACCTGTATTATACCACTGTATTAGCACAAAGAAAAGAAGAATAATTTCCCCTTACCTCTCTGCCAGACTTCGCTGTAATCTGTCTTTGAGTCTCTCTCAATTTGCGAGCATTGTCAAGTTCAGCTTGAAGTTCTGAAGCCAACTCCTTCAAAGAAAGTGGTACTATTCCATTAGTTTAACCATTTTAAACTTTTATAGACCTTTATATCAGAATTACTATTTATTCCATTTCTTCATGTTTTGATAAATTTTTTTAAACTCTAATGACACAAAAGACTAATGAAAATATGTCAATATCATTCACACAAATCTTTACTGGAGATAAAATTCTAAAAAATTATCAGAACAGAGGCATCTGAAGTACAAACACATACATTGTCAGAAAAATACCAGGAAAAAATATGCTTAAACATTATTCAGTTATGTTAATAAATGCCTTGTATAGCTAAGCATAGATACTACTTCATGTATAGGAAGCTAAATAAGGAAGTCGGAACACAGGAAGTGTATCACCTTTACACGTTACGCTACATATCCTTTTATTTATTTATATATATATATACACACACACACATATATACACATGCATGCAAGGGGTCTAGGGAAATATCTCTGAGACAATTTTGCTATGTTGTTTCACATTGCTTAATATCGCATGTCCAACTTTGGCATTTAGGACCTTCCTTTGGGTATTAAAATGGACAATAGGTGGAAAATGAGAACTGTTTACAGTCTTGTGTAAATTGTTTTTGGTGCTCCTGCTCTCTCATCCCTCTTTATTAAAAAAATACAAGCATTTTAGAATATCTCGGTTTGCTGAGAATTGTCAGGTGACAACCTATCAACCTATAAGAAATACAACCATTCATACTCTGGCCACTTTGCCAGTTTCATTGATTGGACTTCATGCCTATACTTGATGCCCCAAAATTTAGTCAGTTAATCAACACCAGGCAGCAAGTCAGTAACAAAAATAGAATTCATCTGTCCCACAAGGTCAACCTTGAGCTCTGGCCACCAGGACATGCTGTTACATAGCCATCTGTTTTGGTGTGTGGGGATGAACTTGTTAAAACAAGCTTCATTTTCAATGAGGCCAGAGAAAGTCCATGAAAAAATATTTAAAGAGCAACAAAGCAAAAATTAGTTATTTTTTAATTTATACAGTGGTTGGGTGTTCTTTTTTTAACTAAGGTAATTCAGAGTGCATATGTAGAAAAATGTATATATAAAATTAACAGTAAAATTGTAATGATGGCTTCTGCTACATTATTTCAGTCAAAACAAAACAAAATGGTAGAATAATAAAAGAATCACACTCTCCCCACAGAGCACCTGTATATAGTTATTCAAATTACTCTTATTCCATTACTGGCAGGTTGAAAAGAAAAAAAAAAAAAAACAAAAAAAACAAAACCACACACACACTTGTGCCCAAACTTTTATTTGGACAATGCTATTGAAGCTGAGCAGTAGGGGGAAAAAAATTTTACAAATTTTTGCTGCTCTCTGCAAGAATTTTTGGAAAACTTTCACTTCCCCAGTTCTTTACAGCAACTAGTGTAGAGATAGCCTCAATCATTTTCCCCTGTAGGAAAATGTCTTAAAATAATATCTTACATGACTAACACCAGTCCTTCACAAACCTATCATATAAATACATTCATGAAGATACTTCTTCCTCCTAGTGTATTTTTTTTATATACTCACTAGGTAAACTATAAATTAAAACATGGAGGCCATCTATTTAAATCATTAACACTCATTATATCTTAGTAGAAAATACACTGCTTGAAGCTACTTCAAATTCACTTTTGAAGTTGATAAGACTTCAAAAGGACAGGATTTCTAGAAAAAGTGTATTTGTTCAAACTTTATAAAGCTACATACACACATCTGTCTAAACTCTCTGGAAAAAGAGTTCATACTATAAAATCAGTTTGCATAGAAAGTATTTATAATATAGACACTTTCTCCTAACTAAATTATATGATAGGGGCTTTGACGAAGACTAACAACATGTCCTAATCTAGCAATAAATTCGTATAGTAAACATGCTAAAACTTCCCACAAATCAAAAAATCAATAGCTATCAGGAAGTATTAATTTGGCACTTGAAGTCATAACATGTCTTATTTTTTACTTCTTACTGATGCAGATTTTGGTGCAAATACTCTGTCACAAGAGGCAAGGTAAACAGGTGCACTAAAAATTAATAATTTTTTAAAAAAAAAAGGTCCATAGCAATAGGATTCACTTCTAAAAAATGTTACTTATATCCTTCAAAAAATTTCAGCAATACTTCAAGAGCAGCTATTCAGAGTAAGCACTTGTAAAACATATCTTAAAAACTATGATTACAGACTTGTTACAAGTGAAATTTCCAAGCAGCACTACTGAATGCAATTAACTCACTATAGCCATACTTGAACATAATTAAAAAAAAAAATACACTTCCCAAAAGAGTGAAATTCTTGATATTTCAGGCTGTCTCTTAAAGCAATGTTAATCACGCTGCTGTTTATCTCAGCTCCATGGATCCAATCTCATTCAGAGCAGGCATTTTGTGGATCTGACCACACAAGGCATTACATAATTGTTCTCATTGCAGAGCTGGATGCAATGGCCTATGCGGTTCCTCTTAGTTTTAGATTTCTGCATCATAATTAATAAGTATGCTTATCAGCAGAGCTATGGACCACAACCATCAACTTGTGACAAAGTTAATGAAATAAAAAAAGCTCTAGACACTGTCTACCTTTAACACAGACCAGGAGCTTCGCAGTTTTCACCTGCTCTCTGCTTAATAAAAAGACTTTAAATCCCATAAAAAAGGCAGAGAACAACTGGTTTTTGGATATGCTGCCTAGCCTACAAAACCTGGGGACCTGAATCCTCTATTCTAGTCTATGAAGCACTGCATTTAAGCAGAAGTTACAGTAAAAGCAGTATCTTCAAATCCTACCTGATCAAATTTTGCAGGACTGTATTTGCTTGAATCAATACCTTTTTTTTAAAAAAAACAACTAAATCACTGTAAGCTTTAAAGAAAAACTGCAGTAAATCATGATAATTTTCCAAAAACATTACCATGTCTCCCATGATTTCTGCTTTCACAATCCTTGCTCCCAGTCTGTTCATCTCCTCTTCACTAAGGACCCGAGGCGGCTCATCTGATATATACCTGTAAAACACCAGCAGCACTAAACCCATAGAAAAACAATGCAGTATTCACCTGTGTAATTAAGTTTTATATGCCTGCTGTATTGGTACATATGCTCCTATTATCAAAAGAATTGATAACAACACATTATAAAAATATATTTGCAGTCAGAAGTTGCCAAGAACTCTGAAAAGGCTCAAATAAAATTTTTACTTTTGAGATCAACTAAAATGAAAAGTACTATCTATGAACATTTTCTCATTGTGAAAAAACAGTCAAGAGCCAGTAGCAGGTATAAGCAGACAAAAAACAAGGAAAGGAAGAACAGAAAGTATAATTTAAACCCACTCTGTGGTTCTCCTTTCTGGCTTTAGTCATGCTTCTCAGCTCCAGAAAAATCACCCATTTCCCAGTTTTTCTGCTGTATGCCAAATGGCTTTCCATCTCTTGAAAACTACTTATATATATGCCCATACTTACCTGCTCACAGTACAATCTTTGCTTCTACAGATGTTACAGCTGATATGGTAGAGTTTCCATGGAAAATTAACTGGTATAGTTTTTAAAATATGAAGTCTCCCTAGAGAAGCTACATCTAGTAATAAATAGTATTGTATCTTAATTTTGATATTAAAAGCTCAGTGTATGAGTTCTTCTGATAATAAATAAGGTCTCTAAGAATTATTTCGAAGAGGCATCAAACAAGTTTGGCTCTTTTAGTCTCTTTAGTCTAGAGAAAAGACTAGAACCAACTAACTCTAAAAGTAAAATACATAACACAAAAAAGAAATAAGAATACAGTTATGATATTGGTTGCTGCTATTAAAAGAGAGAGAAATCACTCACTACTCAATATGGTTAAACCCTGTAGGATTTGAAGAATGGGAGAACTCTGAAGATGGTGTTGTCTTTAACTGCCAGACCTCCCCAGCCCTGAGGAAAATTTAAAAATTTACTTTTTTCAGTTTTGAAGATGCCCAATCCAAACCCCCAAAAACTCAGCATAAATATTTACACTAACTTCACCAGAAACAGAACCCTCAAAGGTAAAGTTCTCACTTCTCCTTAACCTATATTTTTCAAAATAAGGCAGATTTTCAGTAACGGGAGCAAGAGGTGTTTATTACTTCATACACACTATTTTTAAGCAGTGCTAGCACTTGAATCAGTCTGAACTTTTTGAGTCTTGAGACATTGTGTTGATTTGCTTTTTATCTTGTCTCAAATTAAACTCTGAAGCAGTCACATTATTAAGTGTGATTTTCAGCAAACACTAGCTGGATGGACTTTTCCTCTGGGGAGATCCCTTGGATATCCAATCAGCACTTTTAATTAACCTGTGTCATAACTGTCCAAAACACTTTGATTTATAGGCTGAAAAAACTCTCTCAGTGTTTAAGAAGGGATAAAACTTAAAAGGTACATTGTCAGCATGAAAGATGAGGAACTGAACCTGAAATAACACCCATTAATCCAAGCCTTCACATCAATGAAGATATACTTTTTGTGACTGACACCACTGAAAGAGTACATGTATTACAAGACTTGAAACTTTAGAAAGAAAAAGCAGCATCTTATATTTTTTTCCCAACAGATAACTACCACACATATCCAAACCTGAAATGTTCCAAAGGCAGAATTTTCTACAAAATTCTACAAAAAAAGGACAATTCTCACTGAAGGAAACAGGAAGACAGGTCACACGTTATCTTAAAACACACACAAACTTAAGAGTTAAGAGTCAGCTTAAAAGAACTTGGAAATAACTAAATCAATAAGCAGAGGCTATACTGTTTTCCAGGCCTAAGTAATCTCCACTTTACTAATAATTCAGCTCAGTAATTGTATTGACTAAGAAATACAATTAAAATTTCAAAGAAAATGCACAATTGGGTTTAATGGTACTAAACCATAAAACACACACAAAAGAAAATAGCAGCTAAATAGTTTCTACGCTTAGTTCTTTTTTGTGAGGAAAAGAATTATGTTTTCTATCACAATTGAGTTCTATGAACTTGAATAAGCAAACCACTTCCATATACAATCTACTTCCTCAAAATCTGCAGCTCTCTCCAGTTACAATTAGCATTGCACTTACTACATGTGGTAACCAAAAGCTAAAAGGTAAAGTTTTTATACTTGCAATAAATAAAAGTGAATCACCATTATTTAAAAAAAAAAAAAAAAACAAAAACAAAAAAAAAACACAACACAAAACCGAACCCAACGAAACTGTAAAGGAGTAGTTGCTTCTCAAGAGAATAAAAATGAGGCAATGGTATCACTAACTTTTACTCAGTAATTACATGCTTTACTAGGTCTGGCTGGGAGTTAGTTTATGGTCTTCATAGCAGCCTGCATGGTGCTGTGCTTTGGACTTAACTGGTGACAGGGCTGATAACACGCCAGTGTTTTGGCTGTTGCTGAACAGTGCTTACACAGCCTCAAGGCTTCCTCTGTTTCTCACTCTGCACCCCCAGCAAGTAGGCTGGGGTGGACAAGAGGCTGGGAGGGGACACAGCCAGGACAGCCCACTCGAACTGGCCAAAGGGCTGCTCCGTGCCACATAACATCATGCTCAGCAATAAAAGCTGGGGAGTGCAGTTTTTCCAAAGTAGCTGCTGCTCAGAGATTGGTTGGGCATCAGTCTGCTCCTGGGAGGTGGCGAGTGACTGATTGCCTTTGCTTCACTTGTTAAACTGTCTTTATCTAATACATGAGTATTTCTCCCTTTTGCTCTTCTGATTCCCTCTGCAGGAGGGAGAATGAGCAAGCACCTGGGGACACTCTTAGCTGCTTGCTGGGGTTAAGACACCACACATGCAAAGCAACACCCAGCGCCACACTACCCCAACAAAAACACAAAAAAAAAACAAAAAAACAAACAAACAAACAAACAAAAAAAAAAACAACAACAAAACTACAAACAAACAAGGTGCAGTGTCTTCACATGGTCTCTCTCACTCACTCTCTGAGTTTTGGACAATCCTCAGTCCAAACCAGTGATACTCGTGAACTAAGATTATAAGAAAATAGATATTTGTGGAATAGAATTATTAAGATCATTTTAAGCTGTTTTAACCATTTAAGCATTGTGTTGCAGAACAAATACTGATCTTTTGAGTAATAGTTAGAGTAACTGTAGGATGAGCAGGCCAGCTTTGGAGGACAAGATACACATGACCACAGGACTGAGTTTGTGCAGAAATAAGGGTCAACTGGCCGACACGGTGAAGAAGACTACAAGCCTTCATCTAAAGACCCCCAAAAGGACCACCTTAAGACTCCAACAGACATGCACAAGAGACATTAGCATATGCTAACGAGTTCCCAGAAAAGTTATGAATATGATAAAAATATTATTGAAATGCAAGGAATATGTATGATTAAAGTAGTATAAATGCTTGTTGACTCCATTTCCACACACACAAACTAGGAGGAGCTATCCCCTGTGTGTCCGGCACTGGAATACAGAATGACTGCTTCCTAAAACTCCAAAATTGAGTCTCAGAGAGTGAATTAATTACCACTTTCCAGTAACACCAGTAGTTCTCTACAGTTACATAAAGTATACTGGATATCAGAACTTCTATTTGGCATCAGCTGTATGACACTGCTGTTAGATCTTGCTTTCTCCTTCTGGAAGTCATGGAAGAAACAAAACTAAGAATGAAGGCAGACATACTAAAGGATTATATGTCATTTACACAGATTATTTGCTGCTAATCAGTGAAGTATTTCATTTTTTTTAAAAAGTGCATGATATTTAACATGAAGGATAAGACTCTAACCATGCATAATCATGCCCTTTTACATGCACAAAAATGCTCCTTAACAGGGCAGCTGTACATTTTCACAGAGTCTGTGCCTGAAGGACAATGCAGATGCCATCTCCCAACCCACCACAGCATCCCTCCATACTTGAATACCTACATTTCCTTATGGAAACCAATGCACTACACCAGGCAGGCAGAGAACAACTATGGATTGTTCAGACCTTGTACCTGAACAAAGTCATGAACAAACCAGGACTCAAGAGCTGAGGAAGTCTCATAGGCTGCAGGTCAGACACACTGTGAATCATTACAATCAGAAGTTTACAAAGTATATGTAAGTGGCAAACCACAGGCACTTCAGGGCAATAACTATTTGGGCAGTATCTACAAAAACAAACAGGATCACTAAATTCCAATGCCTAATGTCTCATACCCCACAGCTTTAATGCTACAAGATCTTTTTTTCAGAGTAAGTAAAACTCTAAAAATCTATTTCTCATTTTCCAGCAAAATAACACCTAGGCAAATACTAAAATAAACAATAAAACAAGAGATGACAAACACTTATGAGTGAGACTTCCCATAGCACATCCAAACTATTTATGCCAGAATTGGGAACTACTCATGCTGTGATATGTATTCAAACTCATGATTTTTTTTTTTTTTAAATAAATAAATTAGATTAAGTGAATATCATGCAAACAATTTCTCTTCCTGCTATCAAAGGAAATGAAAATTGAATTGATTCCTTCAAAGTAGAAATATAGCAAATAAAATCTGGAAAAAATACCCAATCTATACAATATAAAAAATTGTGTAGACTAAGCTGCCTGTTTCTGGTTAGTCACGCAGCATTCATTTAGTGTAGAAATTTTCTTCGCAAATACAAAGTGAGATACCTGCAAGTACTACATGTAGGAACAGTTATAAATAAAATAAATACCTTTAAGATAGTCTTGTCATTAGAATACTTGTAAGGTTTAATTGTTGGAAATTCATAACCCCCCTATTAAAAGGTTATTTTCTGCAAATAACTGACAGAACCATATAAGAAAGAAAGAATTACACTTGATCATATTTCATCAAATGTTGTTTCCAACTAAATCATTTCATCCTTCTTACATATTCGAACCAAGAAAATTTACTTCTTCAGCTTTTCCAAGCAATTACATAACACCATCCTGATTCTAAAATACTTTTGCACATGCCTACTTACTATTGGGAAGATCTGAAGGAAAGCATTCACAGCAATAAACACACTACTCCTATCACTGGAAGAACCAGCAAGCTGGTAATACTAGAGAACAGGTGGCCTCGAGTAGAGCAAAAGTTCAGTTGTCTACAACTTACTTTTCTGACCACCTCCCCTTGATAGTCTGTTGTCTTTCTCTAATGCAAGTCAGACAAACTGAAATTCCTACCACATATTAGCTTGCATATCCCTTCACACTCCTTTTTTCCTATTTTCCACAGAAAATGAACCTTTCGAATCAATACCTTCTATTATTTTTCATATGCTACTACTTTAGCATATGAGTTCATCTCACAGGTGACAAACCTATCCCTGCTGTATTATTTCAGTTTTTAGTCAGCATTTTCTAACATTTCAAGTTTGTCTTTTATAAATTCAACAACAGTTAAGATACTGTTTTTCAGGTTTTTTGTCTAGAGTCCAATTTTACTGCAGTGTGAACTAACATTAGAAAGAAGCAGAAAATAATATATAGCATTAGCAGTTCTCAAATATGCCGAGGAGACAGGACGAGTAGGGGGTTACTTATACAGCTGTTCATTTTAGCTGCCCCTAGCTGGGCTAGCTGCCTCCTCCTAACTAAAGAGATCTGATATGAACAGATCAGTCACAAATTAAGACAATATTTCCAGTGTACATTGCCATGAAAAATACTGCAAATAAAAGACAAGTAAAGATGCTTGCAAAATACCTAGAACACGATGCTTTACTGTCAGATAAGGTTTGTTTCTTCTCAGGGATATCATTTGGGTACTCCTGTCGCGACTTCATTTTTTCATCAATTGGAGTTCTTCCCCAACTACTGTCATCCATTTGTTTCCTAGCACCTGATGACTTCTGATCAGACATTAATTTCTCCCTGTTATCTTCTGTGTGTGTTTTGTTCCACAGTGCAGTATCCTCACTAGGTTTTTGGAAACGGCTGCTCAAAGAGCTATGAACTGGCAGTTTGGAAGAGGACTGCTGTGACTTGTAGTCTCCAGGCGTACTATAAGATGATAAATCATCTTCAGAGGGTTTCAGAAATTTGTGTTTCATGTTGCTTAGAGATGAACTCTTCTCCTGACTTCGTTTTTCATCGGAGTGTTTTTCTGCTTTGGAGCTGTACCCTCTCAATACCGAGTCCGTGCTACTGTGTCCACGTTCTTGGTCCTCTCTTGACACATCCCTTTTGTAACCTCTGTCTTCTCGTGCCCATCCCCTGCCATACTTCTCCCTAGTATAGTCCCCAAACATGTTCCTGTTTCTATCATCTTCACCTCGTGTCTGCTTTTTCATATGCTGTTCTTTCCTCTCTTTCTCACTTTCTGAATAGTCAGTTTTCTTCCATCTGCCACTTGTATAGTAGTTTTCCTTTCTGGATGCAACTTTTTCAGCTTCTTCTAATCGTGACTGAAATACCTCCATTGACTATAAGAAAGAATAAAAAAAGTCATAGTGCTTTTAAGATCATGGGATGTTGTGAAGTTCCCTACAAAGTATTACGTGACAGGCACCATTCTGTGAAAATGAGTCACTGTGCAAAGGGCAGGGCATGAGCCATGAAGTGGAAAGGAAGACCAGTATGAAAAAGGGAACTTCCAACTTCATGTCTAAGATGATCTGTTGGGAAGGCTTTCTGATCCCTTCTCTTAGACTATTTCTAACTTTCATCCTGTGACTCTAGAGTGCTAAAACACTTCTGGGAACAGGGACCAGAGACTCTGAACTGTCTCCTCCTGGAAACCTGGAGATTAAAGGCTTGAACTAGGGAGAAAGGCTTCCTCCTTACTTACGAACTTTGAATTTATGCTCACCAGAGGCTCAGCTTCTATAGAACCAATGGATGTTCCCAGTAAACCATTTTACAATCTAGTTAAACTCTTAAAACACAGGAGAGTGGGTTCAAAATCTTTAGCTTGAAAGAGGCTTTGAAACCCTGTCTCTGGCTTTCTCAACAAATATTCTATCTATTAGGCAATCATGCAAAATGTGGACAGTTCCTCCTCCCTCTTTTGAGCTGAATTAAAAGCCACCAATCACAGGGGGGTTTTTTGGGTGTTGTTTGTTTTTGTTTGGTTGGTTGGTTTGGTTTGTTTTTTTTGCTCAAAACATTACATACTGAAGCATATCAGGCAGGGATCTCTTTCAATCACTATCCTGTACTTCAGCAGCCAGAGTGGTTCATGCTGTTTGAACTCTAGTTTCTTGAGAAAGATTCTTAAAAATAATACATTTTACAATCACTGCTACTGATTAATTTCTACCAGCTCTGACCATGTTGGTTTCATCATTCAAGAGTGACTACAATTCAGTTCAAAGACAATAGTATGAAGTCATACTGTCTTATCCAAGATTTTCACAACTAAACCAGCCTAATCAAAAAACTCACAGAAAACTCAAATGTAATGCTATGGCCAAGATTTAACTCACCACACCTTTGACCAATGCTTTTAAAGAATATAGTAAGTAGAGGGGACAGAGTTTATGGCAAACTATTTTATTACAAATAAATTCTGAAGACTTTTAAACCCTCCAGAAGCAAGCCGTTTTCTCAATATATCTGGACTGAGCATATCACAAGTGGGCAGAAGATTCACATTCGGTAAAATTCGACACAACTCTCCAAATTATCTTTGCATTATTACTGTCCGCAACATGCATTATTATCCGCTCCATGCAAAGGAATTAAATGTATTTTCTAGTATACATCATGATTTTGGAAGCACTCAAGTACTTTAACTGTGATCATTTGAACCTCCTGATGTAGAAAAGCATTTAAAATTTGCTAGAGGATCCCATAAAGTGAAAAATATTTAACAAAAAATATGTAAAATGCTGGGTGGCTTTAAACTCTTCATCACTTGAGAGAAGCTTCAGAGGCTGTTTTTTCCTGCTTCTTTCCTTATGTCTTACATTACACATTAAGTATTTGTGCCTTTACATGAAAGTAACCTTTTCCAAGCATCTATTAGTATGAAAAAAAACTTAATTGAAGATCCTTACCCCATATCTCTCAACTACAATTTCCTCAAAATTTCGTTTCTCTCTCTCAGCCTGCTCCTTCATCCTTCGGTATGATTTTTGTAACCAACTTAATCCAGCATCTTCTACCGCTGTAACTAAAGCAGAAAACAGTAAGAGGTCATAGTTTTGTATCTCAATAGTTATTCCTACTTAACCTTACTGTGTATGTGACATTAAACCTTCACCTAAAATTAATATAAAAATTGAAGGGATGCAAAACAAAAAATAGAAAGAATATAATAATACAATTACATGTTTCTATAAGTTAATGCTGGATATACCTCAGTAATACCACTGATTTAATCTAAGCTTCTCCATTTTATCATAGAACACAACAAGCAGTTTCCAAGACAGCAGTGGCATATGAGAAGTTGGGGTTTTTTTTATGAAATTAAAGAGCCTTTTTATTGTTTCCACTTTCTGTGTCCATTCTTTGGCATACCTCTTACATACAAACAAGTGTATTCCCCTTCTTAGGAAATGAATGAGCAACTCATTGCTTTCCATTTGAGAAGCTAGCAGAGGTCTTAACATTCAGGATACAAACTGTCTGATGCCTGTCACTTCTTACAGATTGCTGATCTCTGTGACTCATAAATGTGGGCATGAGGCTAATGATTTGCAGGACAGACTGTCCACAGGGAAAGGTTCCCAAAGAGAAAAGCCAGGAACCCCACTGTTCCCTGTTGACAGAATACAAGGACCCTTCTTCTCACATAATAAATGCTTCATGACATTATGAAAAACATTTTTCTAACTGCTCTTGATAGAAATAGGCAGGATAACCCTAGGGTAAGGAAAGAAGTTAAAAGGTTACAGAAACAATATTTTTCACAAACTGCATCTGTAATGCCCTTCATTTTAATGTGACTCAGACTTCTGTGGTTGAATATTTTAAAACTATAATTTCGGTAATGGAATGAAAGGAACCAAATGAGATGACAACAGTTTATCTTGTCTTGGTTAAATCATGCTTTCCTCTAATTAGTTCAAATTGGAGAATTTCTGTAAAGATATTGAAGGTCAAACCACTCAAGATTAAAAACCAGTGAAGAGAAATTCTGCAAAACAACCTCCTATGATATTAACCCAATATTCACTACTGAATTTTCATACAATTTTACTTTCTTACATGTTATTCATAATCCCTTTACATCAACGTTTATAGCAATTTATTAGCAACACAGAGACCAGAAACTGGAGACAAAAATTTGTGATGATTAATAAAGTTTTACCTTTCTTAACTGAAGCTCCTTCATCCTTGTCTGGTGGCAAACCTGTACCACCATCTTTCCAATAGGGATTGAGCTCTCTTGCAGACAGCATGGCCTAAAACAGAGATCATTTTAATATATATATAGCATATGGTTTGTATTTTCTAGAATATTTGATAAATTTTGAGGCTTGTGTGGGAATAGAACAGCTTACTCATAACTTGTGCTATCTAAAGACAGGTAGAAATAAACATAACTCTCCATCCTGACTCAAAGTTCTCAAATGTGCTTAGTTGACTTCCTTATTATACAGAAGCAATTTTACTGTTTGACTGCATTGCCAGTGTAGCAGTAATAGGCACTTGCGTCTGAAGCACTGCTGTTATGGGGGCTCTTAGTTTTACCTCATGTTACTGCTTTTCACCCCCAAACTCGATTGCTTATTGTGATTCTGTCAAGTGACTTCTCTGGAAGCAGGCAAGGAAGTCCACTGGAGAAAAGTGTTGATTAGGCATTCCAGCACTGACAAAACTTTGAATTTGTCTGTTATATTGTCAACTCATCACCACCACTGGTATGCTGTATGCACCTGTTGTACATATTGTTTTGGATATCAAAGAACGGACTGACATTCTGGTGTAGAAAACACAAAAGTATAAACCTGCATGGAAAGCAAGTGGTTGAGTGGGAGAGTCTACAAAAAAACATACTCTTCTAGGATCAAAAATACATATAAGTTGTCATTAACCATATTAATACATGCTGACATTCTAGTGATTTAAGATCTCCACATTAAATGGTTCTTCAACAGTTCAGAAAAAATGTTCAGCAAAAAAATTTTGTGGGGAAAATGCAAAAAGATTAATCCCTTGTCAAAAGACAATAACTGAAGTGTCGGATACTATACAGTAAGTCTGGTCAATCTGGTTCCTAGACACAACACAACTAGCTGGAAAGCCTAACAGCCACAAATGGCCTACTGTGAGATATAAGGACAAGTAAACATTAGATAATGATCAGCAACTATGTTTTCAGGTCAGACTACATTGCATTTTAGGATCTGAAAGAACAACTGAGGCAGCCAGGAACTGTATGTATACAGAACTAATTTAATGATGGCAACCCCATTCCCCAGCCAGACCCTGAATCCACCCATGTGTTCATGCACAACTGTGGCATGAAAGTAACAGCAACTGCTCTGAATTCTTTCTTCAGGAAAAAACAACCTTGGCACTCCGTGCTTTAATAGAGTAACTTAGGTAAGCTTTTAGCACACAAAACAATAGTGCTGCTTTCACACACACCATGGGGAAGACGACCAGACCAACAGTCTGTCACTGTTATTAAGTAAAACATCTCAGAAGCACTTCCAATATTATTGAACTTAGTACTAACAAAACTGGCTTTCTCCTTACCTAGAAGATAGTTTAAAGGCTCTTCTCCACAAGATAAGCCTGCTGTATGAACAATTCCCATCCCTAACAGAACAAGTAACTGACTTAGAACAAATAACTAATTTAATTAAAATCACTATCACACAACACATCAGGCATTAATTTAAAAACTATACAAAGACTTACATATTTGAACCAACTCATTGGTTCATTCATCACAAAAAATCTAGTAAGATGAAGAAAAAAGTTGATACATTAATTCTTCCTACCTGCTCAAGTTCTTGAGCTTTCTGTCGTTCCAATATTTTTTCTTTGTGTCTTTCACCTTTGACAGCTGCTGCTGACATGGTTTTCAATGACATGAAGTCTAAATTCATCCATTCTTCTCTCTTTAAAATAAACACAAAGGGTCAGAGTTGATACTTCCAACAAAAACATGGCTTAGGTACAAATCAAACCAGTGCAACTACTGACAAATGTTACTTACAGCAAACAGAACAGATTTTACAAACACTTATGAAATAATTTAATGAAAAGCAAATATGATTTTAAGAACCCCAATCTTTCAATTTTTTAATATTCACTTACACAAATTTCATAAATGTCTTTCTGTAATTTGAAACACATCTTTACAATGCATTTAAGACACTAATAAACATGCAAACTGTACAGACTGATTATTATTTGCTTAAATGAACACTGTACATCTAGACCAATTCCTTTTAATCTTGCTTATTCTGACTTCATGACCTCTTACATCTTGTCCAGGATATTCAAAATCTGCAATCACTAACTGCGCATAGTTCATGCCTCAGATATCTAGGCACTAACTACACCCTCAAATTAAAAAGTTACACATCTAAATTCTGTTAACTGTATCCACAGTAACAGGTAGAAAACTGCATTTACAAAACCTAAGCTGGCCCAAAGCCATTTCAAAAATGAGGACTCCTTTCTAAAGAAAAGCAGCATATAAAAAGCCTAGATATACCTACTCCTTTATACACACAAAACCTGAAGCCTCAAAAGAAAGCAGTGACATACACAATGTAAACAACTACTCTACAAAAAGAAGTATTTGGAACACTTCTGTGGATAAACAATGAAAATAACAAGACTACACCTATTTTAAAACATGTCCTTGCAGAAGTCCTTCAGATCTTCAGTAGAGTCCGAGACTGAGTTGTCAATCTGAATAGATGCTTCCTCTATTATTTAAATAACACTTCCTCTATTATTTAAAATCTGTATTAGGTAACAACCCAGAGAGTTTCAGTGGTGAAACATGGCCTTCCAATTCTCAGATCTCTTCCAAAAAAGAGAAGGAACCAAAAAATAATCTATCTTTAAGTGATTCAATAGTATCTATGCCCACATTAGCAAAAAACATGGATCAACAGAAATGGATGTGCATGGGACCTCTGGAGGTCATCTGGTCCAACCCCCCTGCTCAAGCAGGGCCACCTAGAGCCAGTTGCTCAGGACCATGTCCAGACAGCTTGTTAATATATGCAAGGTCCTGCACATCAGTCAAGGCAATCCCATACACAAACACAGGCTGAGCAATGAGGAAGGCATGAGCAACAAGCAGCCCTGAAGAGAAGGACTTGGGGGAGTTAGCAGCTGGAAAACTGAACATGACCCAGCAATGTGCGCTCGAAGCCCAGAAAGCCAACCATATCCTGGGCTGCATAAAGAGGCACGACAAGGTCAAGGGAGATGATTTTTCACCTCTACTCCACTCTCACAAGACCCCACCTGGAGTACTGCGTCCAGCTCTTGGGCCCCAACATAAGGAGGGCACAATCCTGTTGGAGCGAGTCCAGAAAAGGGTCAAGGATGATCAGGGGGCTGAAGCACCTCTCCTCTAACAGGCTGAGAGAATTGGGATTGTTCAGCCTGGAGAAGAGAAGGCTCTGGGCAGGTCTTATAGCAGTCTTCCAGTACTTAAAGGGGGCCTACAGGAAAGATGGGGAGGGACTTTCTATTGGGAAGTATAGTGATAGGACAAGGGGCAATGGTTTTAAACTCAAAGAGGGTAGATTTAGGTTAGCTATAAGGAAGAAATTCTTTCCTGTGAGGGTGGTGAGTCAGTGGAACAGGTTGCCCAGAAAAGTTGTGGCTATCCCCTCCCTGGAAGTGTTTAAGGCCAGGGTGGATGGGGCTGTGAGCAACCTGATCTAGGGGAAAGTGTCCCTGCCCATGGCAGGGGAGTTGGACATAAATGATCATTAAGGTCCCTTCCAACCCAAACCATTTTATGATTCTATGATTCTCCAGAATACACACTGCTTACTGGGCAGAGAATTCATCTAGGAAGATCACAAAGAGGCATTGATTCCATAAATACTGTTGCTGAGAAGTTCCATACTTCTCTTTCTTACATCTGTCTAACCACCACAGAAGCAAAAATTCATTCAACTGTAAAATAGACACCAAAATTATACAGAAAAAAAATACCATTTCTAGTCATGTTTTTTAAACTGACCTCTTTAAGAAAACCAAGCTAAGTTGCTAGAGACTTAAAACACAGTGAAAGGAATTAGTGCTAGGCAACTTTAAGCATAGTGCCTTATTAAATACTAATCAACTATTAGGAGGAGAAGTCTTCCAATAAACGAAATGTAACATTTACCTAGCTAAACAAAGACACTGTTCTGTAAAATAGGTTTTGTTCAACACATTGCAAAAGAGCTGTCAAGAAACCTAGGCACGTTTCACATTTGGTCATGCTGAATTTATTTCTGGAGTAGTTATCAGACTGCTCACCTGCAGGGAGGGTTCTTTCACAGCATCTGATTGCTTGTTGACCTTCCAAGCTTCTTCTGTGTTATCCGACTGTGACACATTTGACTCAACCCATTCAACAGAGGAATCCTAAAAATAGAGTTTAATGTAAAGAAGAAGAAGAATGCCTTAACATAGTATTAGAAGTTGATAAAATGCAATACTTACCAAGTACATCAATAATCAAAATTGATCTTGATTAGCATTATTAATATAATACTTTTTATTATTTTGCAATATTGATAATAAAAATAGAATATTGATATTCTCATAAGAGATTGTTCATGATTGGAACATTTCTCATACTTGAGCATATTACTTTACATAACACTAGTTCATACTAGCGGTTTATTAGCATTACACTGCTAAAGTTAAAACTATCAGAATAAAAACAAAATCAAAATAAATTGTTTTTATGGCATTACAAAAACAAAATTTTAAGAAAATCTAGATTAATTACTAAGTATGTTTTACATCAAAAAGTAAAATCAGTAACAGTACAATATAAAGCCCAATACATGCTATCTCCTCCTATTTTCATATTCAACTTCCCACACTTGCACTTGCTAACAGTCTACTGAGATTTTATACTTGAAGTAAAGAGGGCTCCGTTGAACAGTTTCTTTGCTATTTACATGAACCTGTCATGGGAATAATGGACTTTGGATTGAAGGTATAAGCCAAGATTGTGTTGTATCCTAGGCCTCACTGTTGTGATCTGAGGGGTTTTTATGACTCCCATGGGAAATGTGAGACATTTGTGCCTTAGATGACTTCCCACATTGAAAAGCACAGTTAACCTCTGATATCAGTCCCTGGAAAATAAATCCCATCGTACTGCATGTTCCTTCCCTCAATAAAAGGGACTCTCGGAAAAGAAAAAAAATCACAGCACTACCTGACTTGCACCAAAACGCTAGGAGGATGTTTTACACAACATGGTCAAAAAGCAGCACCTAGACTTCTAATGGAGTCTCTGTACTGTCTTGCCAAAGTACCCCTCAATGTCAAGGCATCTGTCTACAGATTCAAATGCACAAGTTTCAGCCTTCCTTCAGACTGATGTACAACTCCCATGCTGTTGGGAGTTTCCATGAACATCCATGGAAGAAGGCAGCAGTAATTCATGCTTAAAATCAAAGTCAAGTATTTGCAATTTTAGACACATTATTCTACCTTATATCACTAACTACAGGGAACCTATGAATTTTTCCACTACTAGATTTCAATTTCTCTCTGCTGAAAAACTATAAATCCCTTAGCTTGTAATGAGTGAATTCAATATTATAAAAGTCTCAAGCATTCACATAACAACATCTTTTAAATTTATTAAATACTCTATATATTAAAAAGAAAAACTTTGCCACAGTTCTTCCCAACAGAAGATGGTAAGAATGAGTCTTAAATTTTACTAACCATGTGTACCCACAGAGACTAAAACAGTTCAAGTTTTAAAAATTTAAGCATTTGAGGCATTTTAAAGTTTCTTGCTTACCGAAGAACTATCAAGTAAGTCATCCTTCTTTTCAGATTTTTGTTTCTTATTTTTCTTCTTTTCTTTCTTAGCTTTTTTTGAATGCTTATCCTTTTTCTTTTTCTGCACAGAATGTCCCTACAAGTAAACATTTGTAAATAAGATCCAGTAAGCCAAATCACCCACATACAAGAAATACAATCACAAGCTACTTACCGAATCACACTGAAAAAAGTAAAACACACAGTTGGACATAGCTACATTTTACTTCTACTACCCTATCTCTCTTCTGTTGGTGAGGGCAGAGAGGGCATGCCTCACATCCATAATCAATTTTTCCTCCCTCTCTCAGTATCTTTTTCACTGTAACTAAGGCACTATAACTATACATAGAATATCTTCTACATTACATTTATTTGGGTCAAATCTATTTCCTCAGGAATCACTGCATCATCAACATACATCTGTTCTTTGTTGAAATATCTGCACAGATTTCTTCACTAAAAGGATGCGATATTCGGAGGTTCCATTAGGACTTCTCCTGTGAATGACTACAAAAGGGACTGCTACAAAGCCTTGGACCCTCCACATTTCTTCCCATGGGACTATTCTTGTCTGGCAGGGCTTGTTCTTCTGCATTTGGTAGATGTAAAAGCTGGAATTGAATGACATACATTTTAACTCTTTCTGAGTATAAGATTATTTCCACTTATAAAAAGCTAGTATCAAAGCATAAAATTCAGAAATCAGGAGGTCTTTAAAGATTGTTTTAAAGCTCTCCAAGCCTTCTGTTCATACAAACATGCTGTAAAGCTAACAACACAATTCAGTGATTTACAGTTCTGCCACCTTTTCCACTTGTTCCACGCGTTCATTCACATCATCAAGCAACCACGTATCTTCACCTCGTAGATGCTTTAGCAGCTTGTGCCTCTGCTCCTTTTGATAACTAATTTTGGCCTAAGACAAACAGAGAAGAAGAATAACCAGGCAGAGTTCAGAAGCATTTGCTTACAGACGCACCTCTGTAAACCACACTGACACAACCATACACAATGTTGAGAACTGTGCTTGAGAACTTTTCCTTGTAGAGGACTGCAATAAAAATACTTTTGGATTATGTGTTAAAGTGGAAACTCAGTTAAAACACATTATGCACCCTTCTCCTTCAAGCAACAGCTTTGCAGCTCTGATTTTATCCTATCATCCTGAACGAGGGTGACACAAAGGCATTCAACTTCCGTTCTTTATTCTTAGAAGTCTTGTGTTCTTACAGCCTTTATGAGCTGCATATGATACGATATAGTGGAATTCTGATTTTCTATTTCAAAAAATTCCCTGGGCAATTACCCAACTGCAAACCACAGCTCCCTATCTGTTAACTTGAGAAGTTAGCAAGCCTGTCTTTGTGCACATTCAATTTTGAAAATATCTCAGCCAGGTGCAAAACTTGGAACTGCAGAAGTCCACTCTCTCAAGGAGTATACAGATATGCTTAGCATTTTGGGATGCAGAATGTTTTTCTGATTATGGAGATAAAACTAAAAATACTTTTATTACTACTTCTGATAAAATAGTAACCACTACAGGCAGTTTCAATTCCTGAAAAGGATTTTTATAAACCTTATCAATTAAATAACAACCTTTTCAGCCTTTGAAGTTCCCTCTATTACTTTCAGGAGAAACATGACTTTCACAAATAAGTTTACTTAAATATAACTTGCCATTAGAAACCTGAGATAAGTTATTTTGTATTATTACAACTCTAATTTTGTGTGAGATAACCCTTGAAAGTTTGAGCTTGCTTTTGGTTGTTTGTTTGGGGTTTAGTGGTTTTTTTTAGATAACTAAAGTCAAAGCAAAAACTAAAGGTGGAGTTTTGTTTTGATCCTGAAACACCAAGTTTTACCAGAAAGTGTATTCAACCATAAACCAAGGAATTGCATACAAATTTTGAAAAGACCAGTATTTAAAAAATAAAATATCTCAGGAAATTAGACAATCAGTCTTTCCTCCTGGTCAGCTATTAGTGCTCTGTAACAAACTCCAGATACAAGCCTGTGCACTACACAAGACAGTAACCTTCCTACCGTGGGCCAGTTTCTCTTTTTTTGATACAGCCAAGAAGAAAATCTGCATCTTTTGTACTGATAGAAAACAAGGTTTGCAGGAGGATGACCAGCATACCGTAAGGGGTCAATGAACACAAATACATGCTAAAAATAAGATTAAAAGGGTTTTTTTAAAAAAACCTAACTCATGAGATAGGAGTGTTGTTGTATTTTTTAACATTGTCATTAACAATATTGAAAGTGGCACAAAGAACAACAACAAAAAAAATCAAAATACTACACGTGTGCAAACAAAGCAACCTTTTAAACCTTCATTGCCTACTTCCTTAAAAGCCCCAGGTGATACTTTCTAATGCACTTAAATGCAAGCAAAGCAAGGCTGCGACCCAGAATTCTTTGTTTTAAAAGAAGGGACTTTGCAAAACAAAAACACCAAAAAAATAGTTTAAGTCAGCTTGGATAAAGAAACCAAGACAGGGACTTCCATCTGTAGAATCAATCTGAGAGTCTACAAGGGTGAATGCTGCATCTTAAAATTCAAAAGGCAGGGGTAAAGAAATAACGAGTTAAGAGCACATTGAGACATTTATTCCAATATCAAAAGAGTTTTTCAGTTTATAAATAAACAAAGCCACAAAAGAATAAACAGGACTATAATTCAGTGAGAGTAAAATAGCTGTTCAACATAACGTAGGGTCACCAAAACCACCCAGGACTCCAAAAAATTAAGTTATGTTTCCTGCTACCTCTCCATAATCCAGATCACTCACTGGTGGCCACCTTGAGACATCTATCCATCTGGGCCAATACCCTTGAAAGTTCATGTGGAAATCACTGAATGGTATTTTCTGTTCTAGTCCATACAGACAATGATGGCCCTTCTGCTATTCACATGACTAAAAGAACGTAACTAAGCATGCCACATTCATGGTCAAGTGAAGGGTAATAATGTCAGCTATGCACCTCACAAACTGTCTACAAGCCACACATACACAACCCTTAAGCTTACAACTGGACAAAGATGAAACAGTGGAGATAAAGGGAACTTGAATATACTTCTAGATGGGAAAAGCACTACAAAAACAGACTCCAAACTTGTTCCATGTATAATTGTGGAGCAAACATGTTGGCAAGGTTTAGACTGGGAAAAGGACAGGCTTTCTGCATACTCCATTTCACATTTGGTTAAGAAAGACCTGCAGCTGGAATCAACAGTTCCCTTCCACCCTTTCAGCAGCTCTTGGGTATATAAATCTATAAGCATCTCAAATAAAGGCCAATCAAGATCAGCTTGTCGACATGTCTTCATTTAATAGGCTCTCTGCCTGTCTAGGAAGATTCAGCCTCCTACATTTCTCTATAATAACAGGTATATTCTAATTAATATTACTATTTCCTACATGTTATCAAAGTTACAAATATGCATTGCATAAAATGAAGTTAACATTATAAATAAGGTACAAAAGGAGCTTTTATACTTTTTATTAGATCTAAGAATAAATAGAAAAAATACAGCCAAATATTTAGGTAATTGAGATACATGATCCTAATAAAAGAGGTGGATCATCATTTTGGCTGAAGTATACAAGTGCATAATCAGAACGCAGAATGACTAGAAATCATCATCAAACTGCAGACTGATGTCTCCAGAATACTAAATGAAACAGGATTGGGCAAGATGAATCTGTAGAGGCAGTACAACCAGACTGCTAAAAAGAGAGAGAAAGACACAAAAACATCAGGTGAAAGTTTGTTTCTTCTTAGAGAAAGATAGAAAATATAGAAGATTCTTAACAATATCTGAATGTAAAATAAAAAGAAAGCTGCCTAGAAATCTAAAAAGATAAAATAAGTTGTATTTTCACCTAAATTATCATTTTAACACAAGACTAGGGTTAGCAGCAATACCCTCTGATCCTTTCTATCTCTAAAAACTATCTGGCTCCCTCTACCATCAAATTAAAATATTAATTTTTATTGTTGGTGAAGGCTTTCCCCTCACACACACACATACAATTATTTCAAGTAGGGGAGAGGAAGAAAATCAGTCAACACTACTTTATTAGCTTCAAACCTTAGCTTTCTCTTCTATTAGTCTTTTATAATGACACAGGGCTTACTACCATCTTATAAAATGTCGAAAAGGAATAAATACAAGTTAAATCCCCTGTCACACTTACCATTCTGTGCTGTAAAGTTCAACTGTAACAGTTTCACATCTCTCAACCCACAGGAGCTCAAGCATTTAATTCACATTAAGGTTTGTTAATAGTTTATGATACCACAAAAATATCCAACAATTTATCCTTTCCCCTTTACAAATGAATACTTAACATTAGGTGCATTTTAGGTCAGCACTGCAATATTTTTAAGTTTTTTCTCCATAAATACATTACGAAAGTACCTGTTTCAGCGTAATGCATTAATTATGGAAATGACTGTTCATGCTACACATGAACACAGAGGACCATTACAAGCAACAATCTGTCAAGAAGGGCAAGCATCATGCTACATTACATACTTATGCAACACCCTAATAAAGTTGCTCATAGTCTCTTTTGCAACAAGCACGGGTGAAGTACGATGCTGGCAAAGTACTCTGAAAGGTCTGTTGGTAAGGTGCTATAAAAATAATTACAGCACTATGTTAGCAAGGTTTGCCAGGGTGAACAGAGCCAAACTGTTGTCTTTACCACAAGCAGGCCAAAGGGCCTTGGATTTTACAGCCCTATCTGAACAAGGAAGGAAATCAAGGTCAGGGAAAGTGCTTTCTGGTTTTCTTTAGTTAGGTCATTAAGGCCAGCCTGTATGGCTGCTGACAACAGTATATTCTAAATGAAGAATAAAACGCTCCAGACAGCCTATAATATGCTGCAGACACAATCACCAAAAGCTGTAAAAATTACACCATGCTACCCGAGGAAGAAGCAGAAAAGATGAAAGACACTGCAAATGGCCAAGGTCTAGGTTGCACAATAAATGGAGGTTGTTACACAACAGCATCCCAAAGATGTCCAGAAGGGATGGAGGGATGTCACCTAGGGAAGCTAAAACACTTCCTCTCCAGCTCACAAAAATCCCGACCAACACTCTTTCCTGACCCCAACTCCGTTTACCGTTTCAGTGCTCACCAAGGCCAGAGAAAATTTTCCAGAGACCACACAATTTCTGATCTTTAACTGTGGCCAACCTCTAGTTCTTCAGATAATAATTACCACCATTCAGTAGCCAACCTCCCCATCCAAAAGAAGAAAAATTCCCTTTTTCTCTAACAAGCAATCAGAAGAAACTCTACAGCACAACACCAGATCAATAGAATGTGACAAAATCATCCAACACAGAGCAACAGCTAAGCTGCTCTAATGGCTGCCTGTCACCCAAGGGCAGGGCTCCATTCCCCTACCTCTCCTCTCCGTACTCCCCCTCACATGTTCCACCATCTTCCCTGCAGAAGCCTGTCCCAGCACTCCAGCCTCAGGGGAAGCCACCTGAGGGACACCATCCTGACACAAAATGAATCCCGCCAATGGGTGCAGCTTCCCGCAGATCAAGCTTCCGAGCTGCCCCTCTGGCAAAGTCATCAAGGCTACCAGTTTAAGCAAAAGGAACGAGGGAAAAAATGTGCACTTTGGGGAAGATGAAGTGTGGGGAAAAAAAACTCCTTTCAGCAACAGCTTTTTGTTCAAGACAAGTTCAAAAGATCTAACACCTAGTCCAGTCCTTCAAAAATCAACATAAGGCACCCAAAATCTAAACAACCTTTTCTTTCTAATTTCCAGATGACCTCACTTCCTTTCATACAAACCATTCCACTCATTTACCAGTTCCAATATTCAGCTATCAGAAAGGTTGCTGTGGCCTGTATTACCATCCCAGCTTCCATCATCCTAAAGCTCAGGGCTGGAGAGCCCTGGTCATACGAGTGCTTACCTTCAGGGAACCTGAACATACCCCTCCTTGCTGTTCCGATGCTTTTATACCAATTCTCTATCTGAATAACACACTTATTTTCATGAATGCTTAGACCATTCTTCTACCCTCGATATTCTGATTATTGTTATATCCACAAAGTTTTCCCAAGGAGGACAGCAGTGGAAACACAAGAAAGAGCTTAGCTTTCACCCAACTTGCCAAATCACAACTGGTCAGAGTGCTACCTGCACCTCCACCTCCTCCAGACACAGCTGTGCCAGCTGAAAATGTCACCACTCTTTGTCATTCTCACCTGCCAAAAGGCACAGAAGACAAGTCACTGAAATGACCATCACTTAAAATAATTTAAGCTTCTTGTCATCAATAATCATTACAGAACAGTCAGACATGATTTAAAGACCAGACTGTAGGAGGTGTCAACCTTCACTCAGAAGCATCTGCGAGGCAGTAACTGTTTCTGCTGGTACAGCTGCACACAACAGATGAACAGATGCACTGCAGTAGCTACTACTGCTAGGAAACTGTAGGCAGATGCTTCACATTAGTGTAGGACCTCTCCACTTCTGTGGCAGAGCAAGCTCTAAAGGGAGGACTTACAGAATGTAATAATGATGACATCTGTCTTCATCACTCACCTTCTAAAATGACCTGTCTGTTAAATCAAAGATGTTGATTACAAAAATGTATATAGAGGTGCTTTGTCAAAAATCTGAAAACCTTCTGTGAAAAGGCATTATTCATTTCTCAGTGCTGTTACTCTCCTAATATCACTCAAAGATTTAAGTGAGTATAGTAATATTGATATGCTTATTCCCTTCAACAGACAGTCAGGGATGTAGCACTTCATAAAGGCTTTAAAAGAGAAAGAACAAAAAGGAGGTGCTTAGTATTACAGCACAGAAGCAACTTCCAACAAATAACAGCTCTATAACCCCTAACAGTCATATGTTTTGCTATTAATTTCTGTGTAAGGAGAAATTTCTGTAATTTTCCACTGAAAACTGAAGTGTAAAATACTGATGAAGCATTCCATCACCTCGGCAAATATTAATCACTGCAACAACCCAATAGTTAGGCTTTTATGAGGAAATACCTGATCATACTTCACCAGGAAAAGCTGCTGATTTCTCAGCTTGTTTAGAACTCAAATACAGTGAACTCTGATACTGTTACACATTGGGGTTTTTAAGTTTTAGGTTGTATTTTCAAAGAAAATAAATCAAAAAATGTAAACCAAAAATAAAGGTAGAGGTCTAAGTCAAAAGCATCAAACAAGATGTGTCCAAAAGTAATGGTTTGCACATCTGAAAACATTTTTTTCAGAAACCTAAGTAAGTAAAACTAAACACACAATTTATTCTTTGTGGAATTAACCTGTCTCAAGGTATCATTTTATTTATACTGTTCCAAGAATATATCCTATTCGTTTGAAATACTGAGTGAGGTCTTTCTTACTACACTGAACTCTTTTTTTTTTTTTTTTTTTTTAAATCAGTATGTACTGCTATCAAGAAAAACTTGTAATCTCAGTAAGACAGGATTTTCTGCACAAGGAATGGTCAAATCACATCACCCTCAGTGACCAAAGAGTGAAAGACTCAGATTACACAAAAAAAAACCCAAGTAACAGAAGAGTAACCCTGAAGTGCAGAAATACCATGTCATAGGACAGATAGAAGAATAATTCAAAATTTAATTACTGCTAGTTTTTACCAAAAAAAGCAGAATTCATGTCTAAGAAAAGTATACATCCCTGCACTTACCAAAACACCCATCAGAATATTTTCTTGTTCTAAACTTGCAAACTAAAACAGCAGTGTCATGAACTACTGCACTCATCAAAACAAGACACTATTTCTGGAGCCTAATAACAATTTGCACATCAACACTTAATTATTTGATTAGTGATCATTATCATAAACATTACCAGCTGCTGGGTTCTACCAGTGCAGTTGGGAGGACAGACTGCACAAAAGAATACAGTTCCCAAATTTAAAACAGAAATCTCAATTAATGAGCTGGATTGTATTTTAGTTCTTCAAAAGAAGTGTAAGTTCATAACCAGCAAAAAACATGAAATAGTAAATAAATTAACTAACAGCAACATCTTCTATTCAGCTTCTTTTAAATGTAAAAGCTACTAAAGAAATCTATTCTACTTCTATAACTGTTTCAAAATCTACTATATTTTTGATCTCTTGATTATTGCAGATATAGAATCTGCAACAGTGAACTAATCAGATTCTTCTACCGAGCTCAGTGATTTGGAAAGAATTACTTCCAAAGAGATAGTGAAGGTTGTCTCAGACTCCTCACTGTACTAACCCTCAAGACCAGAGTTAAAGAGTTCCCTTTTATCTTAGCCCAAACTACATATCCTATAGAACAAAAGACAGACTAATCATTTCCAGTATTTCATAACAAAAAGTTTCTTAAGGTGAGTTGGTTGAACATATCATCTTTCCAGAAACAGAACTACTGAAGTACAGTCATCTCTGTAAACTTCTTGGATTATCAGAAGCAAAGCCCTACGCAGTTTCCCAAGTGTCTTTACCAAGGCAAAAAGCAGGAGCTTCCAAGATTGCAATCACCGAGTGTCATGACCCACATTTGGAAAGTCCCTGTGCATCTCTTTTTCTGCCTTTGCAAGCAAGTCAGTCAAAATGCATAGATAAAGCCTTGCAGTATTTTTCTCCCAGTTGTGTTCCATCACTATAGCAGCAGGCCATCTAACCATAATCAGAGTAACCTAACTAAAGCAGAGAAAGTCAATACACTTAAGACATTAATCCATTCTTACTTACTCATAGTATCAATAACATACATATTTTAATGGGCAGATGAACATCTTTAGGAGTCCATAAGCATCAAAAATACTTCATTTTCTTCAAACGAGGACTGGTTTTCCTTCCCCAATAAGAAGTAGGGAAGCAAAAATAGCCTACCAACCAATTTGTCATTTGGAAGCTTTTTCCTGCATAAAATTTCAGGCAGAGTACTCCCAAGGGGAGGTTACTTTTTTCATTTGTCTGTTTTCTGCTTTCTTCTTTTTCTGAATGGTCAGAGGAAAAGAAAGATTTTTCAAACCTGCTTGTGATAAAACCTGGTTTTTTCTTAATAAACTCTCTTTTGAATTAAGTTCAAAACATAACAAAAAAAAAAAAAAAGGAGTTCAAACTTAGCTAAGTACTGACTATTTCTAGATGTGGGATACTTAATGGGAACAACATCAATTACTTAAAATAAGTACAGAAGATTTAACCACTCTATCAAATGCTGTTTTAAATGGTACTATGTCACCACGTCTGAAGTACTAGTATATATTACATATATATCTGTATTTTATATAGGATATCCACATATATATTCATCTCCAGGCTTTGCAAGTTACAGTGTGTCTCAACTTCAAGGAAGACAGAAATGTTATTCTGTCAGCACAAAAGTGGCAGCAAGTCAGTTCCACTTCTGAAAAGCAGACAGCAGAGGACTGACATGGCAACTACAACATCCTCGTGCTTCCATGTTACAAAATGATGGGTTGGTTTTGCACAAAAATAAGAGTAGCTACATGAGAAGTCTTAAAAATTTCACCATTTTACATAGCTTAGTGTTAGGTTACTCGGTCCATAAATGGGAAGATGCGATAAGTTTTTTTAGAGAAATTTAGGGAAGAAACTCTTTATCAGCCAAAACAAGGATAAAGGAAGCTCTATAGCCTCCTTTGTCCCACACTGACTTAAATAGGATAAAATGTTTATTATACAGTTTTGATAACATTCTAAAACTCTGGTACAGAAAGGGCAGTGGGAGGGCAACTACCAACCTTCAACATGTCGTCTCCTTACTTCAACTTTACTTCTTACTGCAAGGAAAAGAAATAGTTCAAGGACATACGTATGATGATGATCACAGAAATTCCACAAGCAACAGCAATGAAAAACATCTGATCATTAATGTACATTTCAGTGCTACCCAATGCACCCAAAATAACCTCTGAAAGTCATGGAGTCTGGCTCAGCTTTAGGTTGCTTGGAAGTGGAGAGGTAACACCGTGGAAAAATAACACAGACTCCAGAATGTGCACTTCCAGTAAGAAGCTAAAAAGTCGTATTGCAAAAGTTTCTCAATGGCCACATAGGGACCAAGCACCTCTAATGGTTAAATCCTGTAGAAAACAGTGTCACTTTCTCAAGACCCCTTCCTACACCCCACAACAAAATGGACTTGTAAAACCATAGTGCCTAGTATTTCACAAATTATACTTCATCCTGCTTCCCCATATTGAATTTCTCAGTGCTCTGTCCTTCTCAAAACTGAGAATCTGTGCTAGTATCCCATCTGAAACATGTCCTGTAGTGTCCAGGGAAGCTGGTAAAAGTAGATACAGGGTTAAGCCCAAAATGACACATCTCCAGAATACTCCTGTATCCTCCAGCAATTTGAGGCTCAGCAGCTTTTCAGTCAATAACTTTCAACATATATTTTTGCTTTTAGGCTATTCTTGTCTGGATAGAAGTGTCAGTAATTGCAACATGCTATACAAGAGGCCCTACAAATTCTCTGTGCATCATCTGATTTCTTTTGCCTGCGCTGAGACAGCTATCTGCAAAACCCTTAATACCACCTAGTTCTTGTGTTGAAAGAAACAGCAGATAGCAATTCTGTACTCCCTTCTCCATATCACCTATGATTTTACAGAACTTTCTCACATTAACTTTTTTCAGCCTATTTTTCCCCATCTCAAAACCTTTAGTCTCCTTGGACAGTCTGTACCAGGATAATTTCTGACACATTTCTTCCCACCCTCTCCAAGGCTATTCTATTCTCCTTGAGATGCTGGGACCAGGAATGCATACACTATTTGATATTATACAGAAATCAGTAATATGTCTGTGTAACCATTTCTTTTATTTTTTGCTCCTTCCCCAGTAACTGCTAGCACTTGATTAGTTTTTGTCTGAGCATCTCTGTAGTGCTATTATCACCCCAGTTGTTAGTCTTGAGTGGTAAAATGTCAACTCTGAGCCACTGTTGTATACAGAAAATTAGGGTTACCTTCCCCCAGGAAATTAGGGTTGTGCATTTGGTTTTATTTAGGGTTGCACAAAAGTTGCAGATATGTTTTTAAGATTTCCATCTAGGAATAATTTGTATTCATGGAATTTAAAAAACATGCTGAACAATACAAGGATGGTCTGTTTCTTGTTCAATGAAAAGAAAAAGAAATCACAAAATTCAACACAGATCCTATATACATACCTTGTAATACAGCACATCTTATCGATAAGAAAACATAGCAGATTTAGTTTCTTTCTAAAACCTCCAAACCAATTTTTCTAATCTTCTTCAATAAGGCTGATGAGCAGCATCTAAACCTACAAGAATGTATTAATACTGAGAGTTAGGACCTATGAAGCTACATTACCATCGAAGACCTCTTGAGACATATCCTAACAGTAAGAAGCATGATCTCTTCCGTGTAGGCTTTCTAACACCAACTCAAACTCTCCCAAAACCAACTTCCGCCCCTTTTCCCCACACATCCTCTGTACAAACAATTGTTCTCATCATCAACTTCAACCTTTTCTCTATGAGAGTAGCTTTGGCTCATTGCTGTAGCGTTTCTGCAACACTACTGGAACCAAACCTCCCTTCTCAGATTTACTGCCTCCCTGACTGAGACTTACCTAAACATGAGGAGAGGTTAAATACAAATTCATTGACTTTTCTACAGATTGCAGCATATTTAATACCACAATCCAGTTTCTATAAAAACATCACAAAAGTCTTTAATGCTACATCTCTTACTTCAGATTTTATTTTAGAGATATTAACAAAAAAAAAAAAAAAAACAAGTAAAAACCATCCACAAATATTTGGAAAGAAGAAGTTATATCAAATTTTTGAAACAACATGCTCACAGAACACTTTTTCTTTCATGTTAAACAGTTGATGCAAACAGAAGCAAATAAGAGGAAACAGATTATTTAATAAACTACTTCAGTAACGCCCGACCCTGTAAAAAGCTTTTACAAAAAGTAACCATTTATCCATGTTTTTTATTCAGGCTGGCAGCCTGTCACAAGTGGGGTCCCCCCAAAATCAATCCTGGGCCCCACACTACTCAGCATCTTCATAAAAGATCTGGATGATGGGACTGAAAGCACCCTCACCAAGTCTGCTGATGACAACAAACTGGGTGGTGAGGTAGACATGTCAGAAGGGCACGACATCTTACAGAGACACCTGGAGAGGCTGGAAGAGCGGGCTAGCAAGAACTGTACAAAGTTTAACAAAGACAAGTGCAGGGTCCTGCCCCTGGAACGACATAACCCAAGAGCCCAGTATGGGTCTGGACCCGTGTGGCTGGGGAGCAGCCTTGCTGGAAGGGACCTGGAGGTCCTGGTGGACAATAAGCTGCACAGGGGTCAGCACTGCAGCAACAAAGGGAAATCAGATCCTGACCTGCATCCATTGGGGCATTACTAGCAGACACAGAGACATGATCATTCCACTCAGAACTTGTCAGGCCATGCCTGGAGTACTGTGTCCAGTTCTGGTCCGCACAATTCAAGACAGACACAGACAGACTGGATAGGGTCCAAAGGAGAGCCACAAAGATGATCAAGAAGAACCTGCCCTGTGTATAAAGGTTGAAGGAGTTAGGTCTTTCTCCCTGAAGAAGAGATGTCTAAGGGGGGACCTCATCACGGTGTTCCAGTACTTAAAGGACACCTATAAAGAAGGCAGATGCTCTCTCTTCACAAGGAAAGGACAAGGGATAGAATCCCCATCACTGGAGATTTTCAAGATGCATCTGAACAGAGCACTAGATAACGTCATCTAGGCTCCCTTTCCCACAAAAGGTTGGCCCAGGTGATCTTTCAAGGTCCTTCCAAGCAGGGGTGTTCTGTGATTCTAAGAAAGTGGCATTGCCTCTGACAGCTTGCTATACAAGTGGCACCAACTGAGAAGAAAAGGTAAAGTAGGATAATGGTGTCCTACATAAGTTTCAATTCCCGTTAAGAGTATTTTCTGAACATCCAAGAGGTTGAACTGAGCAAAGGCACTCTTAAATGTATCATACAGCAGTTCAAATAGAGCAAAAGACATTTTAACAACAGCAACAAACTTTTGCAGGATAGTATGATTCACTTACTAAGTTAAAGGAATTGTCTTTCAGCTGCTTGTCAAACGGGGAAGCACACAGTGCAGCAGGATCACCCCAGGTTTGTGAAGTCACTAAAGGGAACTTCTGTTGCCTAGAAATGGTTCCACAACTGTGCAAGGGAGACACCCACACAATATACTACCTGAAGTCCTCTGTCTTCCCACTTTGCCTTGAAAAAAGACATCACTACCGTGTAAGCCTTAGGCTATCCAGACCATCTTCCCATTACTTTTTTTTTCTGAAAATATGTTTGCCCAATAAGATTTGGATGCTGCTTATTTTGGCCTTCCTTCTTTAAAGAGCCCATCATCACAACCTCATATTTTTTTCCATACCCTGTTCTCCTTTTACACTTCTCTTTCCATACAGTTATCACCTACTCCTTAAACTTCAAAACAAGTCATGACATCTAATTGATGTGCCATTTACTATTTTATCATTCACTCTACCTACAAGTTACAACAAGAATCAGCAGCTTACTGCACAAGTACCAAACAGGGCATACAGGCAGGCTCTGAATAAAATGCATCAGGATTAGCAAAGTCTCCAAGTCACAACAGCACTACTAAAGCATCGGAGTGGGAGCCTCTGAATTGTTGGCTAAAACTACAAGAAGATACAACCAAGCAGGTAACATCCTGGCTCCATAAAAACAGGCTCTCCCACGTCTGTTCAAGATATTACAAGTTACTACTACTCCATGACCAGAGTGTTGTAATGGAGGGATACTAACTCCTTGAGGAAGGCCAGGAAGACAAGGAGAAGCAGTTGACTTTTATGTCTCATTTAAGGAAAGGTTGAAAGCAGGGACTGTTTAGCCGAGAGAAGGCCCGGGAGTGCAGGTGGTGTCATCTTATCAATGCATACAAATACCTGAAGAGAGCATAAAGATCGACCCTGGCTCTTTCCAAAGGTGTAAGCACAGAAACAGTTAATAAGTGAAGTACCAAGCAGATCAACGCCACAAGTGGCATAACACACGAACTCGGCTGGCCGCCACTCAAAACTCCGCTTCCGGTTGCTTTCTGCCACTGCCGATAACCCTTCGGGGCAGAAGGGGCTCTCCCCAGGGCCCACCCAACCCCAGCTGCCGCCGGCGGACCCATGGGCGGGGGCCGAGGCGAGGGCCGCCGCCGGGAGCGCACCGACCCCGCGCACGACGAGATCACCCAAACACCCTGCCGGGGGGAGACCGGGCCGGGCGAGACCGGACCGGACCGGACCGGGCCGGGCCGGGCCGGGCCGGGCCAGGCCAGGCCAGGCCGGGCAGCCCACCTGCGCCAGCAGCGCCTGCCGCTGCTCCCTGCGCGCCGCCGAGCTCCCTTCGCTCTCCAACCCGGACACCGTCACCCGCACCCACCGGAAACCAACCACCACGCAGCTGCCGTACGGCAGCCCCGCCGTACGGCAAGCCCGGAAGACTGTCGTAAACGGCGTCCCGGGCAACGGCGGGCTGAGCGGGGCGGGACAGGGCCGAGAGGGGCGGGGCGGGGCTGAGAGGGCAGGGGGCGGGGCGGGGCTGAGGGGGCGGGGCGGGGCTAGGGGGCGGGGCGGGGTGCGGAGGCGGTCCCCGGTCCGTCGGGGCGCCAGCTCTGAGCCGCTCTGGTGCCGCCAGCGTCCGGCTGTAACGCCCTCGGTCTCCTGACAGAGTTCCCCCAGCTTCTCTCATAGCTTCAGAATTACAGTCAGCCCACGGAAGGCTTTCCGTGGCCTCTTGGCCGCCGCCTGTGCTGCCTGACACAGAGGACCGCGACGTCCCGGGATGGGGCCGCTGACCCCTGGGCTCCCCGCTCCCGCCTGGCCCGAATTACCTTGCGTGAGCCCCGGCCTCCTCTTCGGAACCAACGTTAATGAGAAGTGAACAAGGGAAGCGTGGCCTGACCAATGCTCACACGCTTCAACTGTTTGTCCAGCTGTTTGACAGGGCTGCTACATCTCAAGTGAAGCAAATGTTTATCTGAGACATAATTTATTTGGAATGAGATCGGAGCATTATTAATATGCCCGACATCAAACATGTTCACAGTTGCTAAGTAATAACATTATTTAGGTAAAGGTCTGAGGAGAGTGCTTGGGTAAATTGTTAGCTGTGTGCATGGGACAGCATGTTTTCAAAGTGATAACTGTAATTTAATCATCATCTCCGTGGTGGTAGTAAATGTGTAAATTGCATTTGCATCTTTGCTCAATTTATGCTTTGTCAGTGAGCAACATCTCAAGAAAGACCTGTTGTAGATCACTGGTAGAGGATGGTAACCGATAGAGCGTCACAGGCACAGGCTGGAAAAGCAGCACGTGAACCCTCTTTGGAGAGCCACTTACAAAGCAAATGGACACAAAAGAAGTTCCAGCAGGATTGAGTAGTACTATGCTCAGTCCTTAGCTATGTGCAGCAAAGTACAGTGGTTGAGGGAGGAGAGGTAAGAAAAGCATGTGGTTGGCCCAGTAAGGAAAACCTCTTCTCTGATCATGACGTGCTCTTCTTACTGACAGACTGGTTTCCTTCCATCCCAGTGTTACCGCTTGCTCCAGGCAGCCAGCAGCGCATCTCAGATGAGTGCTACCTAATTCACTCAGCACACAGCCGGGCATATCGGCCTAATAGATTTATATTAAATCTAAGCAGCAAATTGATAATCCATGAGCTGACCCAACTGGTTGTGACAATCAGTTTAGGAAGTATTCGGAAGAGCTGCCTGAGGACAGAGAGCCTGGCAACTGTGGCAGAGCGTGGACAGTGACAGCCATGGACGATGTCTTCCTCCAGTATGGGAGTGAGAACAGGGAATGTGTTTTCTACAGCTGGAATTTACAGCCAAAGAAGAGAACTCAAAGCAGGGTGTGAACTTTTGCAGTATTTGGTGGTGTTCTTGATATCTGTGACCCTCTACATAATATACATCATATTAGGCAGTACTGTAAATTTTAATTTAAAAACACATTTCCAGTACTCCTGTTTTTAGGAGAGAAAGCATGATGCAAATACACTGTAGAATCTCAAAAAATTAATAACAATAAAAACTAGAAAGCTATTTTGTAAATACGATCATTCTGCTGTTGGGGTTTCTGAGATCTGACTTTAATTTTGAAGTCGGCAGTTAGGGAAAGGATGCCATCATTTAATCTTACTTCCTCTCATCATCCAAGAAAAGGATTTTCTCAGAGGAAGCAGCAAAAACAAAAGTTTAGTCTTATTTCTTTCAAGTTATTAATATGTCTGAGGGCTCCTCACATGCTCAGAAATCTCTAGTGAGCGTATAGAACAAGTCCTTGCTATACCACTTTTAATGGTCAGCTGGGCACCTCTGTTTAGTCATCTCATTCTCAGTGCCAAAATTAAGCACACTAATAAAACAGTAATGTTTCAGAGATACTGATCTTTGCTGAACTCCTACAGGGAGGCACAGACCTTGCAGAGTGAATTATTATTTCCCATTTAATGGCACATTTCACGCTTTCTCTGAAAGAAGCTGGTAATTCTCCAACTGACCTGTGTTATAAACCTCTATGCTGCTAACCTTCATTGCTTGCCTTCAGCGCTCTGTTTGATATTTTATTTTTATATGAAAAAGGTTGGAAAAAATCCTCTCCGCTGATTGTGATCCTGTGCAGTTTTCTTTAAGCAAAAGGCAATGATTCACTAGGGAAAAGGGGTTCTTTAGGAATATGAAAATCTTTTTCCACAGTGCTGTTGGGGAGAGTTTCTTACCTCAATTTTAACAACACATTCTGAAGTCTTCATATTTGTCCTGGGTTTGAGTGGTGGGGTTTTTTGGTAGCAGGGGAGGGGGCTATAGGGGCGGCCCCCTGTAAGAAGCTTCTCAAAGCTCCCCCAGCTCCAAGTCAGCTCCACCTCTGCACCAAAACTGAACCAATCGAATGCTCCTCTGCGATAATGTATTTAAGAAGGGACATGGTGACGGGCAGTGGGACTGGTGAGGAGGAGTTGCTGCAGCTGCGTGAACATCAAGGTCAGTGGAGGAATGGAGGAAGAAAGGAGGGGGGAGGTGTGCCGGAGCAGAGACCCCCCTGTATCCTGTGGTGAGATGGCAGGACAGCCCCCCCGCTGCCACCCATAGAGATCTACGGTGGAGCAGAAACTGATTTATGGCCTGTGTGTTTCACATGGTTGATCAAGGTGTCTGTGCCCAAAGAAGGCCGGGGTCTTGTGGGAAAAGGTAGACCCCGCTGTTGTAGTTCAGCGCTGGGAGGATTGCAGCATGCGGGGGTGTCCCACGCTGGAGCAGCTCAGGAAGGGCTGCAGCCCGTGGGAGAGACTCCAGTCGGAGAAGTTTGGTATCCCACGTCAGAGCAGTGTAGGGAAACTCTGTGGCCCATGGGAGGGACTCATGTTGGAGAAAGCTTATGGAGGACTGTCTCCTGTGAGAGGGGGACCATGATGGAGCAGGGGAAAGAAGTTCCAGAAGCTCCCCCCACTGAAGATGGAAGAAGCAGCAGCACTGACTGCACCCCCCATTCCCTGCCCCTGTGCCACTGGGGGAGGAGGTAGAGATATCGGGAGCAGAGCTGAGCCTGGGAAGAAGGGAGGGGTGGAGGGAAGGTCTTCAATATGTGGCAATGCTTCTCGCTGACCTACTTTGTTAAATGTTGGTGGTGGTGTCTGTAATAAATCTGTTCTTTTTTTCTTCCCCTAACAAGTCTGCCTTTTGCCCGTGACCATAATGGGTGATCTGCCCCTCCTGGTCCTATCTTGAATCCCAAGCCTGGCTCATCTGCCCCTTCTCATCACTAGAAGAGAAGGGAGGACTGAGCAACTGCGTGGTGTTTGGCTGTCAACCAGGCTCAAACCACGACAATATTAAAGAAGAACAATATGCAGTAGGATGCTGGCGGAGGACAGAGAGGGGGTACATCCAAGTGAAAATGTATTTAGTTTCAGTTAATTCTCACTCTGTTTATTTTTAAAACCACCTGGTTTTGAGTTGGCATTGGTACTGCTGAGCAGTCATTTACATTCAGTTCTGAGGGATGACTTAGACTGGGCTGGGAAATTTCAATGGCTTGTCTAAGAAATAAAAATGTCAGTCCTTGGAGGAAGTACAGGGGAAAACAAAAAACAACAACAACAACAACAACAACAACAAATGATGCAATTATGGGGAAAAGCATATTTCTTTTATAGAAATTTCATTATGTTTCCTCAGGATAAAATTAAAGCAACTGTTTCTAAACTCAGTGCCATAAAATGATAGAACACCTTGCCCCAAAATCAATGCAGTAGCAATGCCTAGGTTATTAGTTGCTCACGCCTGAATTGTGCAATGAGCAACTGAATTGAAAAAACAGACAACTTTCTACTGTCCATCAGAAAGAGTGCTCCTGGCAGCAGCAAAAGAGCCCCTGTGACATTGAGGATCCTGACAGCCTGCCTTGGAAAGGAGAGCTCATCTTGCAATGAAAACAAATGAGGAGACTGGTAGATCGAAGAATGATTCACCCGTTGTTCCATATTCAATAGCAAATTGTGTGTTGTCTGCCCCTGAGCAATAGTTATTTTTTTAATTTGCTCAGCTACTTTGAAAACAAGTGATCTCTTCAGCTGTAGTTCAGCAGACCAGGGGGATGGGGTTTAGAAACATCCATTTTCCTTCCTCCTACCCCAGCTTCATGACTGTAATAAAGAGAATCATTCATCTGGGAAATTCCCATAAATGTTTTGTAAGGAAGCTGTTACACATGTGAAATGATAACTCATTCAGTTAATTTCTTGTAGGGCTTTTACACGCTTTTTTTTTCCTTCGAGAAGTTGAAAACAAAGACTTTTATCCGATGGGAAGCTCACAGCAGTGGTAACACCCTTCCAGTCCTTGATTTACTGAGTCCGGTAAAACACCTTTTTATAAGTCATTTCTTTGTCAGAAATGGGTAAGTCTTTTCTGGTGCCTGATCAACTTGGAGAGGTTCAGATGGACATGTCAGGGAGCTTCAAATCAGCTGCTTTCAAAATGAGACATAAATACAGACTCAGTTCACCTGGCTGGGGCAGGAATTAAAACCATGGGGCTTTGCTTTATCTGTCCTTATTCCTCAGACCAATGAAATAACTCGAACAGTCTCGGGCAGAACTTCAATGCAGTGCAACGGGTTGGTTTTGGTTCTAAAGTGAGATTAAAGCATATTTTAGCTTTTTAAAGGTAGGTCTGTTCCAGAAGCCAGGTTGTAGCCTAGTCCCACAGACAGTTATATCAGCCCATTAGTTACAAGAGCAGCGATACCTTAAGCTGATATTGTGGTTCAGAGAAACCACAACCTTTGGCTGCTCCAGAGACCTTGGGGCTGTCTTTGCCTCTTTCTCCTGCAGTGCTGTTGCTCAGTCCAATGCACACTCACGTGGGCAGCACCCAGCAAACTAAAGC